CACACATCCATTTTTTGTCCTGGTAGTCAGTTCGGTATTTTTCTTGTGAATCTCCAAGTAGGAAAAGCAGTGTATGAGGAAAGCTTAAAAAATCATGCATCTGAACGAATAGCCACACTAGCACAGCGAATCCAGTTCAGATGTGTCTAGATCCTTCTCCGTGAGTTCGCTCAAACGGACATCTACTTCAGTACAAACTTCTGGCTTTGTGGAGCCTAGCTCCTCTAAAGCTAACATTTCTAACATGTAGAGGATAACATAGGCTAAACACATATTTAAGTTATGTGATTAGGAACTATTTCGCGTGCTATTAGCAGTCTGATGCTCACATTTTATGACTGCTTTTTGTGTCTTGCAATATTAAATTTACATTCTCTCCTGGAGTAATTTTAGGGTATTGCCCCAAATGGGTCTCTGGAAAAAGGCTGGGTAGCTAGGAAAGTGCTATGTGAGACAAATCATCCCCAGCATAACTAACAGTTTTGATATGAGAGATGAATTGGGTCCTATGTCTCCTTACTGTAGGAATACTTTCTCTTGAGCCAAAGTAACAGCTGCAGTGTTCTTGTGACTTGAAAAAAAAAAAAAGAAAAAGCATGCATTGTTGGCAGAAGGAGTACACATGCCTTTATCTTCAGAGGACAGTGATTCTTCTTTTTCTGAATGATTTGTGGGGGGGTCACTTGTGAATCTCAGGTTAGAGGGCTTTTTCTTATGCACTCCACACTTGTCTGCCCTGGGAAGCTGAAATTTCTCCCTGATAAAACAGGTGCACTGTGCTGACAGAGCTCCAAGGCGGGGTGAAGTGCAGAGCGGGATCCCTGCCCCTGGGTTAGCACAGAGCAGCCTGTCAGCTCCTGCCTGGGACACTGAGACCCAGAACTTCCATGGCAGTTGTACCACACTGGGTGCAATTCCTTGTAGCTGGCACACGCTTCTTCACTTTCCCTTCCAGAAGGTGAGTAAAGACATTGAAGTGCCTATATTCACCTGTGATACAGAGAAATTATTTGAATCAATTTTAAGTTTCTTTAACTAGTAGCTATGAGTGTCTGGCATACATTTAATTGTTTGCAATGAGTACATTATGCCAGTAGTTAGATTTCCATTGTCTCCAATTGCTGTAAAGGCAATACCACAAAATTCTGCCAGTCACAAATAATGCAGGATACAATAAAAACTATGGGAAGCAAGTTCCATTTATATGGCAGGGTATGCCATATCTCTCAGTCTCTATGTAAGCTGGCATTTCACAGATGAAACTTGGCAAAAGACTTCATATTAAGTAACATAAGAGTTATGAACTTCCAGTTGCATTTGGTTTGAGAAAAAATGCAGACATCAACCTTAGACTAAGTCACCAGTTTTACAAAGCGTATATCAAACTGTAGGAGCAATCCTCTCATCTTTTTAAGAGCATCTGTACCAACCTAAGAATGAACCAGGTTATTACATCAAACTGTGGAAACTATTTAGAATGCTGTTCTAAACCACTACAGATTTATAATGGATTCCATAGGCTTTCACTGATTTCACTTCCTTCAAATTCTGTGCATTCACAGGCTCATCTGCAGGGTCACTGTGAACAGCTAGCTCACAGCAATGCTCTCCTAGGCTGCCCAGGCAGTGGCTACACTGGTGGAAGGGACAGTCCTTCCAACAAGGGAGAATAGGACACAGCCAGGATTTCTTCCAGCTCACCTCACATCCCAGCATCCCTGCTGCCCTCACACCTTCATCCATCTTTATGCACAGCTCTATGGCTTACAGAACTTGGCATCTTGCTCCCAAGACCGGAGACCTACTGTTGGGATCCTAAGGCTGTTTAGCCTCTATTCTACTTATGCTGGGGATGATATTTCACTGTGACCTCTATGTTGTCATAGGGTACCACAATCAGATGTCTTTGCATACCCTTGGAGCTGCAGGGTTGGCATCCCTCTGGGAAGGAAGCTGAGGATCAGGATCAATGGCATGGAGTGTACTCAAGAAGGAGAAAAAAAAAGGGTAGAGGACAGGCTGAGCTATGCGTCCAATCACAGTGTAAATGTAACATCTCAGGATAAACATTAGTCAAGGTGATGCATAGGAACTGACTGAGCAGGTCTGTACAGCTGGTTTCATCTCCTAACAAGAAGTAAATAGAGAACCTGAGGGATTGATTTAAATTGTACTCCACAAGAAAAAATGTTGAGATACGAGGGTGTAAAGTATGTACTTCATATACACTCCACATAAAATTTTTTAATCAATCTTATTTTTGATAGCAACTTTTCTACTTAAATGTGGCCTTTGCCTTGCTAAAGGCTTTTACACTGCTATCTTCTTCCACTTTGTGACTTCCAGTCAAACAAAAGACCAATTTAATAAAATGGAGGCAAGGACAAGCGCAATGATTTAATAGCTAATCTGTGGTAGACTGTATTGGAGCTAAAGAATAAATTCATTAACTACTAAATGTGCGTTTTTACACATCCCACGCTTTTGTCTGGTAAGCCTTATCTACTGCAGTGTGCTAAGTGTGCATTACAAATATTTGACTAATCATGACATAATTGCAGTTCAGTTTGCCCATGCAGTCCCGCTGCAGCCCTGAGGAAAGCGAGGGGTCTCAACGAGCACAAAATATCCTTGTATTTCATTCATTTGCAAAGTAATTGGCACAACACACTTCATTCCAAACATAGCGGCTGAAAGAGATAAGTGAAAAGAATCAACAGTGTAAATAGATGGATTTATTTCACTAATGTAGGAGGCATTTTAAAGGCAACTGTTCAACAGCAAGCTTTAATGTCAGTGCAGATTTAATTAAGTCAGACCACACTGCATTTCTCAGGACTGTATTTGCAGATGTAAACCAGCACAGTCCCACAGCCTTAGCTGGAGCTTCACCCATCTATAACTTCAAGCCTTGATAGAACTTGTCAAATATTTCAGTTGATTATTCTTCCTTCCTCTTCAATTTCCTTCCTTAGTAGCTTTTCTCCTGATTTTTTTCTCTTTATATCTGTGTTCTTTTAGTAGGTCTAATGATACTGATTTTCCTCTCCATTTGGTCTCTAAAGCTTTCTCCAAGATCCTTTCTGATTTGTTTAAGAGAACCACAGAATAATCTAGCCAGGGAAGATGCCTCTGAAGATCACCTAGCCCAAGCTTGAAAGTTAATTTCCAAGACAGCCTATGCTGCTGTGCTCCAACACATCAGTTCTTTTTCTTTTATGGACAGCATATCTAATGGAGCTATCACCAATTATTCTAAAACCAATGCTACTTTTTCATCTCACTCTTTAATTATATATTTTTGCAATTGTTCCTTAAAAAAGCTTCCATAATTCTCCAGCTTTATTTCATCCTCATGCCTGTCTCCATCATTATACCTCTTAGTGTCATAGCAAACATACTATTTTTATGCATTCTGGATTTTCTGATGGAATTATGTTTCTTCTTAATAAAAATATGCCCCTTCCTTGGATATACAGGGTTATATTTACTCATCACAAGACTCAAACTGATTCCATATGGACAGAGGTCAGGTTGAATGACCGCAGCTTATGGCCCAAAGCCATGCAGGTAACATGAATACTACACAAGTGGCTAAAAAACACTATTTTTCTCCTTTTCTCTGCGCAGCTAATCTGCATTGCAACTGCAAATCAAGCTTTTGCATAATATCTGTAGAGCTTTCTCTTTTTGTTAAATATAGTGTTCAGTGGTTTCTGAAAGAGTTTATACAGAAAGGGTTTAAATTTGAATGCCAGACATGGTCTAAATCATTGGGCATCAGCAAAATGTGACGGCAGAACCTGGCCACTTTTCAAAAATTACTTTAGGGATAGGAAAGGGGTGATCCTTCTGGATTTCCTGGAACCTGGACAAACCATCAACTCTGCAGTGTATCAACTGTGTAACCATCAACTCTGACCACTGTAAAAACTTGAAGACTTTTGGAAATGCAATCAGGAAACTTTCTGGAGTTTGTATGATCAAATCTACTTTAAGAAGGGAAACTGCTAATAAATCTTTAATTAAAATACTCAACACATCAAATGCTTTGGTTATTTAGCTGTTAATAAATAATACCATTATTTACACAGTATATAACAGAGTATCATGAGCGTATAATTAGCACAGATGGGCTGCACTCAGCTGAAGAGCTTTAAAGGGGTTTGGCAGGCATTGGTCTGTGCACGCTCTGTATGAGGAGGGCATGGGGCACCCTGGGGGATGCATTCTGAGCAGTCCTTCACAGTAGATTTCTAGAAGTCTTGAAGTGGGGTGTGAGACTGCTCTGCCCCCGGAGCTTCACAAATCGCAGTCCGTGGGTGTCAGACTCTGCTTTGCATGGAGGTCGCCTTTTCTAGGGCTGTGCCTGCGGGCCCCACGGTACAGCTGACCTGAGATCAGCAGGGTGCCTGTGGGCAAAGCGGAAGGCGAAGGGACGGTCCCTAGCTTTACGGAGCCCTTCTTGGGGTGAATTTGGAACAGCCGAGCTTCACGGCTCTCCTTAAAAACTAGCGCTCGTTTCGGGAGTCCGTTTCCCTCCCCCTAACGACACCGTTCTCGGGCTCCCGGCCGCTTCCGCCAGGGGACGCGGAGTGCCAGGCGGCCACCGGCTCGGAGCACCCCCAGCCGCGGGGCGCCGGGCGCGGGCGCGGGCGGGCGCTGCGGGTGGAGGAGGCGCCGCGGGTGGAGGAGGCGCCGCGCTCCGCCATTGGGCAGCGCCTGCCCCGGGGGCGGGCCGGGCCCGGGGCCCGCTTTGAAGTGCAGGTCCAGGGATGGTCACCGCCTGAAGGCGGGTTGGCATCCTCCTCGTCTCCTCGCCGGCGGCTGCGGCAGGGGCGAGGGAGGCGGAGGGAAGGAGGAAGGGCCGCCCTCGCCCACCTCGGCGGCGGAGCGGAGCTGGGAGTGGATGCGAGGGGCCGGGAGGAGAAGGGCTGCGGGCGCGGGGCGGCTTCCCGCCTCGTGAGGGGAGCGCGGCGGCGGCGGCGAGGGGGGACGCGGGCGGCATGGGGGAGCCGAGCGGCGCGGGGGCGGCCCAGGCGGTTCGCGGCCGCTGAGGCGGCGGCCCGGGAGTGCTGCGGGCGCGGAGCGAGCCATGCGGGGGGCGAAGTTACTGGCGGCTGTGCTGTGCCCCCTCGCGCTGCTCGTCGCCAGGTCGTGGGCGCTCCGCCTCCACCCGGGACAAGGTAAGCGAGCGGCAACAAAGGCGGCCGGCGGCCCGTGGGGCTGCGGAGGGGCCGGCGGGGGAAGGGGGGGAACCGGGCGGGGCGGCGGCGGGGGGCTTTCCGCGGAGAGAGCGGTGCGGCTCTGCGTGGGGAGCGCCGCCCCAGCGCCTCTGCGCTGCCCAGCGAGGCTGAGTGCCGCGCTCTCCGTTGCAGAGACCTTAGTGAAGCAGCTGTCCTCCTATGAAATCATCACACCTGTCCGGGTGAATGAGTTCGGAGAAGTTTTTCCTCACGCGCGTCACTTCAGCAGGAGGAAAAGGAGCTCGGAGCCCGCCGCTCTCCGCACGCACTACCGGCTCAGCGCGTACGGGCAGCTCTTCCAGCTCAACCTAAGCGCCGACGCGGGCTTCATCGCCGCTCAGTTCGCTGCGGTGCACGTCGGAGCCCCTCGGCAGCCTCCCTCACCCGACCTGCGGCACTGCTTCTACCGCGGGCACGTCAACGCGCAGCAGGCGCACGTGGCCGTCCTCAGCGTCTGCGGCGGCCTGGTAAGTGCGTGCGCTCCCCGGCCCCATTCATCTCCTTCCTGAAAGGCACGCAGTGAGACGCAGGGCTCGGAAGCTCTAGGGAGGCTTTCCAAGAGGTTGGTCATGCAGTGTCTTGGCACTGCCTGCTTGCAGTTGTGACGGGATATACAGACGCTGCTTTCAAAGAGTCTTTCGCTGGCCGATGGTGGCATTGCTTGATGTAACGCTGCGAGTTTCAAGAGCTGCATCAACTGGTAGTTACAAGGGAGAAAACAAAATATGCTTGGGGAGCTGTTGTTTGGTAAAAATGATGCCGCCAGTTGGCATCAGACAGGTGTTTGCAGCTAGATGGCTGTTATTTACGTATAAGGTTAGAATAATGTTTCTTGAGATGATGAGAGAAGACTGAGTGTTGAAGCTGAGTGTTTTCAGCTGTTCTGTAGAGGTGTCACATTCTTGGCTGTGCACAGTCATCTTTCTGTTGAAGTGAATGGGAAGTTTCCTACTGGCTTATCTGGGAGTGTGACTATAAAATGCTTCCGCACACAATTTAATTGAACAAATAAATCAAAACTGTGTGAAATAGATTCTGTACCTCTACTTTAATAGTGTTTATGTCTTTCCAGGGGTATAATGAAGAAATAGTACCACACCACTGTATGTCAGAGCAGTTGTACTGTGTTGCTGCATTCCATAGTTCCTTGTCTAAAAACAAGATGAGATATCTGGCACTTTGCTGTATCACTACTTATGAAATGCTTAAGAGCTCTGGGAGGCCTGGTCTAGTGGCTGGCAACTCTGCACATAACAGGGGGGTTGAAACTAGATGATCACTGTGGTTCTTTTCAACCCAGGGAAGTTTATGTTTCTGTGAAAGCTGCAGTTACAGCCATACCGATCACTGAAATTTGAGTGCTTTAAAATAGCTAGACGTCAATATGGGATGCTGTAAGTCTTCTTTAAATTCAAGTCAGGGTTGTGTGATGCTTCTTATTGCCACTGTATAGACATACAGGACTTCTGGGAACTGAAACAATCCAGTGACAGCGTTTTCTTATCTCTTCATAGTAGTATATAGAAGATACAATGGAATTGGGTGGAAGGATGTTGGAGAGTGTGATGTGTGTTGACAGAAGGTTATGCAAGAGATGGAACAGCATCAGAAAGAAATGATACTTCAGAGGGACGCTTGTACTGTCTAGTGCTTACTGTTGGATTTGTGCTTATATGCCACCTTTTCTTTGAGTTGAGGCCTTCGGACTTGAGAGCAGGTCTGCAGAAATTGCTGAAGAAGACAACAAAGCCTCAATTCTATATGCAGCACAACTTTGCCTTCTTGCTTTACCAACAGATCTTATTGGTTCTGGTTTGCTTTATACAAAACCCAATTTGAATCTACACTAAAGCCCTTAGTTTGTTGCATACCTGGGGCACAGAAGGAGTTGATAAGAGGAGTCCTCGTAAGTAATTGCAAATGTTTTTCATGTGCAAGTTCATTCATATAGCATGACACTGAGAATGGTCCTGTAGTCTACACAAGATAAATACAAGAAGCTTAATGGATGAGATAGTATTTTCTTTTAGCTACTTATTGCCTGTTTTAATTATCTTCTTGCAAGTAGTCAATTTTCATTACTTGAAGGGAAATTACTTACCTGAAAAATGTGTACCTACTGTACTTCAAAGCTGTCCCAACAGCTGTTATTTGGTGGTTCTCAAACTATCAGTGCAATACTTCCTTTAATAATTAAAATGTCGTACTTTTCTTTTTCTATACTTCATTTGAACATTACAATTTATACTATGCATTATTCCCCTCAGAAGCCATTGAACAGCAGTAAGTTGAACCCTTACATCTTATAGATGAGCCTTGTGAACTTCCACTGAAGTTTCTGGCTGTACTTCATGGCCTCCGTCACTTCCTGGCTGTCAGGAATCTCTGGTCTGGGCTTCTACCAAATGCCTTTCTTTCCCAGAGTTTCCCCAGACCTTCTCTTGTTGTTATTCCACCACCTTTTGCCAGGCAGGCGTAGCCTTGGGGAGCGTAGATGTCACAGTCTGTGGCACCCCAGCATTATGGCCACCTTATCCTTGTTAATGAACCTGGTGATGTTTGGCAAAGAGGAAGCAGAGCTCTGCATGGGTGGTTGGCCCTCCGTGTGACATGGTTAGCTGCCACGGAAGGGCTGTGAGGGGATAAGGAGACTGTCACAACCAGCTGATGTATGTAAATTCCAACCTGGTTTGCTGCCTTCAGCCTGCTGTTCTTCCTCATTCTTTTGTATTCATGCTCCTTGTGTGACTGCTAGTAGAGAGCACTTCTTTGGAGGAGAATGGTTTTAAAAGGAAGGAGATAGAGGTTCTTTTTGTAGTATCTTGTCTTCCCTAAACATGTTCTGCACTTTCCCAGTGCAGCTGTTCTCACGTTGAAAGACTAGGAAAGTTAGTAGATCAGGGGTTTTAAAATGTGTTTGCCTTGTGCATTCAACAAATGTACATGTGAAAGTAAGCTAGATTTCTCTTCCATTGACAATACCATGCTTTGTGGATAAATGTAGAGATAAGTGATTTAAGGATTGCTGCTGAGGTAAGATGCTGCTTCTTGTGAGTGAGTAGAAATTAGACTATGGTGACTTGGCAGCACTGTATTCTGTTTAAGTAAAATCTGTTCTCTCTAGGTCTGTTTTTTCCCGTGCGAAACATGAGTTTTGTGTGTGGAAATTTAAAATACAAGGGATTGGTTAAAATTATTAGATAGAATTCTATCTTCCAAATTTGCATGTGTAAGGCAATAGCTGTAGAGCAGTTCTTTAAAAGCAAGAAATGGATGAAGAATGTGAACTTATAGGAAAATTAAGGGTGATGTTCTAAAAGTTGCTCTTAAGATGTGCCTGAGAGTGATCTGAAGTTGCACCATGTACTTTCTTTGACATTATCCTGTAGCCTCCTTTCCCCAAGCTCTGCATCACCTATGCTGGCAGCTTTACTGCTGCTTCCCAGGTTACTTCTTTTCTTGACTGCACTGTCAAGCTGAGTGTGTTGTTGTTTTTCTTTTTTTTTTTTTTCCCCAAGCTCTTTTCACCTTCAGTTAAGCCTTTTTCTGAGTGTGCCAAGAGCATGTGCAACCCAGAGTACCCATGGAGCTTTGCTTAATGGCCTCTGACACCCTGTGTGCAGTTTTGTTGTGTTATGTTTCAGTGTGCCCTGGGTTCAGGGATGCAAATGGCAAATGGAGGTTAGAAGGTCAGTCGGGAGCCTGTAGTAATTGCAAGGAGGGAGCCTGTAATTAGGGAAGTTTTGGAGGCTGTCAAAGGCAGAAGGTCATTTGTAGTGATGGCCAGGGTGCCTTGTTGAATGTCTGATTGCATACATGCATTTCTTACATCTTTAGAGTGGTTTTTTTTTTTTTTTTTTTTTTAAATCTTGCACTTGATTTCACTCTATTTTCCTAAGATCTAAATCTCTCTTTACTTTTACTGCATTGGTCCATTTTAGCTTCATACTAATGTGGGAAACAAGATCTGCTGAGAAAGCCCACATGAATCCAGTGACAAAAGTGACCTCTCAAACATTATCTTGACAGCAAAATCATAGGTGAAAGCAATTTAACTTTCAAGAAAGTATAGGTTACAACTTCACTGACAAATGTGATCAAATGCCAATTTTGTATTGTATCTGACTGTGAGATAGTACTATTTGTAACTGTGTAGGTGTTTCAAAAGTAGCGTATCCTACATTATTTCCATGAAAGCTGTGATAGATACAAAGAGGACAATACCAGTATTTGATAGTGTTTTGCAGCTGAGAAATTGTACTTTTTTTTTTTTTTCACTTTTTTTTTTTTCCCAGCATAATCACCACCATTAGCAGGTTTGTGTGGATGAGCTGGTAGGGATGCTCTTCATGTTGTCACGTGACAGTTCTGCATGGCCATCCAGAATGTACCTTATGTTGCTGCTGCTGAAATGAACCACCCACTGTGGTCACATCCACTGCTTGGCTTCTATAATGGTTCAGCAAGCGTTAATGAGCATCAGTGGATGCCATTTTTTTTTCTGTGAAGGAGAATTAACTAACACACCTTTTACTTTATATGAACTTCTCTGCCAGGTGCTGTTCTGTCAGACTGCCCTTCTGCTGCTGTCTGTCACATGACAACAAAATGTAATGGAATGTTCATGGGAAGGTTCAGCCTCTACTACACTTCATTGTGTTAGCCCATGACATCAAAGGCAGATGGTGGTGTGGCTGTAGGAGGCATTACTTGTGGAGCAACCTACAGAAGTGTCTAATCAAGATGTAATTTCTTGTGGAGTTCTATTGCAGGTAACAGATTTGTTGCCTTGATAGTTCTGCTCCACCATTTTATTTATTTTTTTTGTACTACATACTACTAGTAACTTCATTTAGTTAAGCTACAGTGGTTTTCCAAAGAAAACTTCAATACTTGTAACTGGAAGATATGTTTACCTTAATATAACATACAGGTGCAGCTTCCAAGAAGTTATTTTCTAAATTTAAATGTTAGATTAGCTTTCAATATTCAGATAACTGAAGTCTATGAGCATCTGTAAGCCACATAATAGTTCTTAAAGATATTTTTTTTTTCTTCATAAACAAGGGAAAAGTCATACTAAAATGTCAAGATGATCAATTCTTGTTTGGGCATACATAGTCTTATTCATGTTGACAGGCTGACCTGACACTTGCACTTAATAGTCTTGGTTTTATTACTCATAGAGAGTTCAAGGTGGATCTCTAGCCCTGAATACCTGCAATATAACAGTAAAAAAAGTCACTACTACTGTTATTGGCTTTGGCATTTATTTTGTCACAGTACAAAATGGTTTCGGGTATAAGGACTGACTGAGTAAAAGATAAATTGTTTCATAAGAAACTAAATAGAATAAAAACAATTCAGAAGTAGAGTGAACTTATATGTAGAAATACTGGTATTCAGTTGCTTTGTTTGTGGCTTTTTTCCTCTGTGTTCCCATTTGATTATTTTTTTGCTATTGACT